AAGGAAAATAAAGAGAAGGAACAACAAAAATGCCGATTTTTTTTGTTTTTTCTCCTTTTTTCGCAGGCGAAGTAAGAAGGTACATAAGAGCTCAACCCAATTTCATTTGTGTTTCCACTCGGACCAAAAGACAGGACGTAAGCAAAGGCAAACCTAAAAAATAACATGCAGCTAAAAAAGGTAATGAAGACCGAAGATAGAAGAAAATCAAAGCAAACATTAAAACTAAACGGACATAGGACGGACAACCTTACTCGCTTAGCAACAGAGCAAAAATCGATGCACATAATCATGAGTCAATAAAGAAAGAAAGACAAAGGAGAGGCAAAAATACCAAAGCACCAAAAAACGAAATTAGACAACACAACAAAAACGAAATGAGAAAACCAACTCGATCGCTTAGCAATGAACGATTACTCCAGAGAAAGCAAGCACCAAAATGAGACCGAAAAGGAGAGCTACATAAACAGGAAGAAACAAGTAAAGCATAAAAAAATGGCAGAAATTAAAACCAAAAGAAAGAAGCAAGGAAAAATAAAAAAACAGGCATTATAATCGGACCTTAAACGCCACCCATGAGAAGACAAAAATGAACATGCATAGGCCAAAAGCTATGAAGAGAATGCAACCCAAAGAAAAGCTCACGAATAATATTGAGATCGAGAGAAGTCGTGTAATCACCACACGGAAATAGAATGAGACCGAAAAATTGACCTACATAAACACCAAGAAGAGGTAAAACATGAGAAAAAATGGCAGAAATTAATAGAAAAAGAAAAATAAAACAAAGAACAAACAAATGAGACATCAACATAGTTTGTTTCAAACATGCCAATTAACAAAAGAAAAAAAAACAATCATGATATATATTATATCAATTTATATATGCCACCATCATTTAAAAAAATTATAAAAATTCATGATATATATTATAATTTATTTAAAAAGAGAAAAAATTATGTTGTAAAATTGTATTCGAAATTTTTTATATATATATTAGACTTGCTATTTCAAATATAGGAAAAAAAATAACTTATATTTGTGAATAAATAATTTTTTTGATAAAAAATAGATTATAATTTTCATAAGAAATGACAAATTCAAAGGATAAATTTGAAACAATAAATGTAATATAATATGAAAAATATATATATATATATATATAATTCTCAGCATGGTACATTAACAGGAATAGGAACATATTAAGGCTATCTTCCTTTAATGTAGACATTGCATTTCCCTTTAAATGTGGGCTCCAAATCGATTGTAAAACACTCGTTTTACCGTAGAAATTTTTATTCCCTTTCGATGCAAGTTGGCACAATCACACATGAATGTGTGTCCAAAAAGAATTACATGTTAGTCCGAAAGATCCCATGGTTTCTATATGATTTTATCGTACAAAAGAGGTTTCCTAAATAAAGTTAGTCTTAAAATGATCTCTCGGAGGGAGTGCTTCTATTAAATTAAATTATAAGAATGTAATATGAAGAAATGCAACCCTTGATCGCCCATTACCACAAAAGCTTCCTCTACGCTATAGGAAGTAAGCCTTTGAATGAAATTAAACTACAAATCAAAATTTTTTAAGTCATATCAGTAGTGTGAATCCATAAACCTTTGGGAGGAGAGTGGAAAATCATGAGATAATAACGACTTGAAACAAAAACATCATGAGTATAAACACCGAATAATATCTCATTGACCATGGCCATAGAAAGGAGATTCTTGCAAGGTTGTTTGTTGTTCATGCTACTATGAAATCAAAATTTCAGAAATTATGTTTCACAATCTGATCCAAACGTGTTGCTGACAGCGAGTGGATCCATGTCGTCGACACAAAAATAAAATGAAATTAAAAACCTTGTAATATTGAGATTTAGCTCTTTAATGGGCAGTTCCTAAATCCATATCCATGCAACAGTCGTAGTTAATTCATAAAACTAAAAACATATAATCCTTATATGTAAACCAAGATGGTGATTCAAGAACCTTCTATTAGGAAAAAAAAAAAACGAATGTTGCTACAAACAACTGCAAGTACCACATTAACTAATTGCGGACCCAAGAACAAACAACTACTTAGATGGTATAAACATCGAAAGCCCCTTAAACTTTCAAGATTCGTATTGTGATGTAAACTAAGGCAATAAAATGGGTGCTTGTTAAAAGAAATAAACTCACATTCCCATATGCGGGTCTATATGTCAAATAATTAGGATTCAAAGCTCCTACAATTTATCCATATTCCAATAATCCAGTTATAAACACTTATCCGTCTAAAAATCTCTTAATTCATGGATCAAAATTAAACTCCCGCAAATTAAATTATGGATAAAAAAATTTAAAATGGGTAAAAAATAAGTATATTTCTCATGTCTAGACTACAAGTTGTAGCTTTCTTATAGGAATAACAAAACCATATGTTTTAGATAATTGTAATGTAAAAAAATTAATTAAGTATAAATTTAAAACCTAAGACTCGAATTGAAAAATTAAGTCTTTAACTATTGGGCATGTCTTAAAAGGATAATTTTTTGAAGAGCACGTAATTAACTACATATCGAACAAAATAATGTATTCATGTGCATGACATTAAGATGCTAATTGTTGTCATGGTAGGATATTTTTTGTTTAGATACCGATCTATAAATTAAATATTGTCAAAACTTTTGGTCGACATAAAAATTTTGGCCAAAAGACTTAATAAATAAAGTCAAAACTTCCTATATGGACTTTAAAAGTTCTCAAATTTAAGCAAACAAAAGCAAAAGAGTAGAACCCCTTTTTGTGCCCCTCTTTTCCTCCGCTGTTTTTTATTGTTAAAAAGAAGATTTCCTTTTCTTTTTTTTTAAAAAAAATTTCATGAATGCAATGGTAAAAGTATGCGGGAGAGGTATATATATACGAGAGATAGAAAAAGACAAAGCAAACATTAAAATCTTAAACAAATGACCTTGAAGGCTTTAACTATTCATCGCCGATGATGTCGTAAAAACTTCCCTTTCTCACCATGATGCTGCAAATTTTCCGACTCCTTCCAAATAAACCCGAATTCTCGAAAAGCCGTCACAAAATGAAGACCTTTTGAGGCATCGGAAGGGAACCAACCAACTAGAACAGGATAGGCGAGACAAAGCATTAAAGCGAAATGACGGGAGGGTCATTAAAGAAATATCAAGGGATACGAAAACGGTGATTAAATTTGAATAAATTGAAAAGTTTTTGTAGAATTAAATTTTAATAAACTGGAAGTTGCAATATGAGGAATTTTCATTGAAAATTTATTTAAAATGATAGGGAGTGGTTTCGTTGGCTTCCTTAAAGTGTTCCGTTCCGCTATTTCGCAGGATGTTTTAAAACGATCGGGAGGATCGGACTAAAATGGACGAAGATGTCGACTTAACATATTAAGCACAACATATTTTGATCACTAAGCCGCAGCATCATGGGAGACTTTGGTTCTTTATTCACACAACATGACCAAAAGTGAGTCACTATTTGAAACACTCTGTTTTGTGAGTTATTGCACCGTGGACTCGGACTTATACCATCTATTTTTTTCATCGTTTATCTTCGCATTTTGCTTCTTTGTCGTTCATTTTTCCTCATCTCTTCTTCATTCGTTGGATTATCCTTATTTATCTATTAACAAAAAAAAAAGTCGCATCCATCAAAACTTAGATTTTCTCTCTCTCTTTAAAAAAGCTCTCCTCCCTTCATCCTAGCCATGCCCTCACTCTTTGCAAAAAAAGCTTTACTCTTTCTCATGAGCAAACCGATCCGTTTCACACACATGACTTCCACCTTCACCTTTCTTAAATCGAAACTCAACCTTCCCGCAAACTTCTAAAATGAAATCGCCTCTCTCTCTCGTCTAAAAATTTAGACAAAGTTTGTGGTAAAAAGAGGAAAGAAATATATAAGGAGAGGGGTGAGCACGAAATAAAGAAAAAGAGAGATGCAAAGTGAAAAGACGCACAAAAACCAACCCGAACGTGAGGAACACAATCACGACCAAAAGAGGGGCAACAAAGAAAACCGAAACAGGGAATGGGTAGAACAGGGAGCAAACAGAGGTCGCAAAACAAAGGCAAAAAAAGAAATGAATAGAGAGTGCGAAAAGAAGAGCGGAAGAACTGGTCCTAACATGAACCAAAATGAAGGCAGAATCGAAAGGTCATACCTTCTCCACGAAGTTAGAAGAACCAAGAAAAACAGAAAAAGAAAACGTGGCAGATAATTTCGTTCCCAAATATTGAAAACGAATATATATATATGCAGTAACACAAAGACAAAATAAGGCATTAAAGGGCAATATAAGAAAACGAAAATAAGGCAAGGGACGACGAAGAAAAACCAAGAAGGGAAAAATAAACCGAAAGAACCACATAGAAGGCGAAGCAAAAAGAGATGAGAACACCGACCAACGACCGAACCATAGGCAAGAGGGTCGAAATGGGACCAACCAAGAACAAAATCGAGGCGATTGCACAATGCCCAATGACCAACAACCGCTTCCACGACGTCCGACCGAAGGAGAGAGCAGAGGAGAGCCATTCGGTCCGAAATGAACTAAAGGAAGATGAAAAAGCGAGAAAAAAACGGGATACCAAACTATGAGAATAAGGAAATAAGAAATTAGAAAGGAAGTAATGTGAAATTGGAAGCGAAATGGTGGACCCTAACCGAACAAAAAGTTTCTTTACATAATCGACACCGGCGACCAAAAGAAAGAAAGAGGGAACGACTTACTGCCAGAGAGAGAGATACGACTGAAAGGAAGTGAGTGGAAGAAAGAAGCATTAAATGAGACAGGGGAAAAACAAAAGGAAATACCAAGAAAGCCACTAAAGACACTTAAACAACAAAACTCATGAGGGACAAAAGAGAGAAAGACAAAAGCAATCATTAAAACAACAAAAAAAGAGACAAAACATAGCATCAAGGACGATGAAAAAGAGAAACACGAACGGATCATCACAAAAAATTAAATGAGTGAACGAGCGAGAGAGCGAGGCGAGAAAAAGGTAAATTGAGAAATTAAGGAACAAAAGAGAAGCAATGGAGAAGGGAGAAGGGCGAAAAAAAGGGGAAGCAAAGAGGAAGGAAGAAATGAAAAGAAAGGACCAAACGCCGAGAAGCAAGAATGAGAAACCGAAAATCGGGGAGAAGAAAATACAAAGAAATAAGAGATGATGATGAACAGTTAAAGTAACGGTGACTTAGAGTCCGAGTCCACGAGTGTTTTATCTCACAATGAACGGGGTTTCAAATACCGTCACTACGAGTAAAAATTCGTTTTCCTTTAGTTTCTTTGTTAATCTTTTAACATAGGAGACTTTATTGGAATAAAACGTTTTGTAAAGATATAAAGATTTAGAATTTTCTAGAAGGATAGAAAAATAGTGTAGAGATGAAAGAAGTTCCTATAAGTTTGGTGTGAAGAAGTATTTTTTTATTCATTGTTTACACTTGTTGTGTTAGAATTAGATATAGTGGTTTAAAAAATTTTGGTTCTTGGGTGTCAAGAGAATGATATTGTTTGTTCTTTCAGTTTTTGTCTTCCTAACTCATTTGTTAACATGGTATTTGAAGAAGTTTGAAAATGAACATGTTTTTATAAGTGAAAATGGCAATTAAAATTAAGCAATATAATTTTTAAAGGTATAAGTTAAGTTTGTAGCATGGCTGGAAAAGTTGGAGGAATTCGAAATGATTTGTGATAGGAATGATGTGAGTCTAATAGTGTAAATTTACCTTAAGTGAAACAAATGAGAAGAAAATGTAACATGATATCGAGTGCAAGCATCCAAATTTAAACGAAACTTTCGCAGAATGTTTATTTTTAAGGAACCGAAGTATAAGTTATGTAGCATGGATTGCTTAGCGACGATTCATGGTTTGGTAATGTTCTTACGATTGATAACGTAAGGGTTTGGATAGTGAACTAACAAACATATCTTTCAAAAAAATATACATGGATAGCTATGAAACCTATTGCTTGAATATGTTACTAGGTGGGTGTGCCATGAAGATAGGATCAAAAGGGCTTTTGCAAAAGGTGCCATCCAATGTTGGTCCACAAAGAGTAGAAAGTTGTAGCTTTGTCAAGGCTGCAATGGGTACATTAATAACTTTTAGAAGCTATTTTAATGAATTAAGCCATGGTTTTTAAGGAGGGGCAAACCTTTTCGATCGATGAAGCGACGCCTTTCATCTTTTTTTGTGCAACTGTGATTGGGCTAAGAGTAGAAGGAGGTGGATCGTTGGCCGTTGCATCAACTGAGGGAATTTGGGGTTGGCCGGATTCGAAAGAAGATCCGTTGGGGCAATTTGTTAGCAGATTGATGAAGGGAATGAAAAAATATAGATAAATTGTGAAGATATGGTTGCTGATGAAAGAAATAAGATGAAACACGGACACTGTGGCTAGTCTGAATGGTGGAGTCGAGTATGAATTCTAGTTTGCGCTTGGTGTTTTGATGTGTGATATTGGTGGCTGCATCATTTTGTGTTTCAGTTGTTGGTGGAGTTGCTTAGGATGGCTGATGCTTGCGAGTTCGTTGGTTTTCCATGATGGCTGGAGTATGTGGTGTTGGTGATGTTTGAGCTAGCTCCTTTCTTGGAGTTGCATTGTTCGGTGATGGCATTGGGAGGATTGAAGGAGTTGGCTCGTCATGGATTTGGTTGTTGCGAATGGTATCGTCGGAATCATCATCAAAGATGTTGCTAATCGGTATGTCACACCGGTTGTTTGCAGATTTGAAAGTGTCGAAGTGGACTTGAAATATATGATATTTCATCAGTTTTTCAGCGATGGGTGGTGGTATTGTGAATGGATCATTGAACTGTTTTTCAACAACATAATGGTGTCTTGTTCCGCCTAAAAACTTTTCAGCACATTTTCCCATTAGCATGAAATTTGTTGCATCGTTTCCATCGATGACGATGCAATCCAATTTGAACTCGTATTTAGTGAAGTGATGTTGAAGATGAGAGAATATAATATTAGGAAGAGTGATTACATTATGAGGTTATGTAATAAGGAAAGCAAGTTTGAAAAAGTAGGTTAGTTTATAATTAAAAAAATGCAATGATAATATGATTTTTATAAAGGGATGGTGAAAAAAGCAATTATATGGGAAAGAATGGTATACCACGGTGCTTGGAGCTTGATTGATAAAGTCGTGTGTCATGCATCGAAGGCGATTGTCTTCTTCGCGTAGCTTTTTATTACAACTTGGGCGGCTTTTATACCACCGGCCCATGTTAGATCAAAATCGGTGATTGAGGCTCGGCATGTAAACTTCTCAACTCTGAAATAATTTGTCAAATGTCATGAAATTAATTTGGAAACGTTATATACCTTTATGGGTGTTTAATTTTTGAGTGTAAAGAAAAGAATGACTATTTAATGAAAGCAAAAGGTGTAGGAAATGAATGTGAATTGAATAAATGTAGAACCTAAATTTTTGAGCAAGTCAAGTAATTATTTTTTGTTTAAATAAGTCATTGTAGGTAAGTATACTGATTATTTCTCTTTAAATCAAAATTATGGACATTTGATAGACTTTATTCTACAAAAGTGGAAATGCGGCTATGGTGTGATTGTTCAATTTTATGTCGTTGATAAGTTAGATACTTGATTATTACAATGTTTTTCAGCTGAGTATGTTGAGTGATTGCATGTTGAAAATATATGTGAACCGACGTAAGAGATGTAGTGAAATATAATCACATATAGTGTTTTGCTCTTTTTTCATTTCCATTGTCAATTCGTATCTTTATGTAACGAGTATTGCATCGAAATTAAAAATAATGAGTTGTGTTAGTATACAAATCTGAAAATGTTGTTTAGTTTCTGTTGTTTGATAGTTGAATGTAACGGTTGTTGAAGTGATTTAAAGTTTCATGTTTAATGGGTTTTTATTTTTGTTTGTGTATAGTAAATTTCATATGTATGTTGACAAATTATATTGTTAGTTTTATTTGACATTTTGATATCAAATGGAAAGGAAATCTTTATGTATATGACAGTTACTCGATGATTATAAGGATTAATGCAAAGTAATTCTTTGATGGTCTTTCGATTGCAAATTTTACGTTCTTCAATGCTTGCCTCTGCACTTAGTCGGTAAAGCGAGTTCTTGAATGTTTGATGGGATGGTTGCAAAGGCGAGAGAAGGCGAGATTGAACAGTTGTTAGGGATGTAAAAGGTGGAGTGTGTATTTGATTAATTAGATGTGATAGAAAGCAACTTACTAATGGTTGTAAGATAGAATTTCAGGAATATCCGGATTGAAATACCAAACCGATGCATGTATCTTGTTAAGGACTGGTTTGCCTGAGAACACAAATTGATATAAATAGAAAAATCAAACGGTATCATAAAATAAAATATTTATCGAAGATAAAAGGAAATTTATATCTATTACAGCAGCGAGATATTTTTTTTTACCAAGGAATTGATTTGGTTTGAATCCTGCGAAGACAACTATGACAGGGGGTTGAAGAAGTCGGATAGAGTCTTCATTGAAGCGTTTTGCAACATCGCCCCAAAGTGTGATGCGAAGGTCTTCATTTCGAATAGATAGTTGATTATGAAGTGAATACCAAGAATTAAAACTTGACAATACAAACAATTAAAGCATGGGTTGGGAAAAAGAACCTAATGTTTTCAACAATGATATCTCGTTTGCACTCAAGGCGACCTCCACGAAGAGTAATTGTTTGAAGAGGTTGCATAGCTTTGATTCTACCAAGAACATCTGAAAAAAGAAAACGATTAAATTTTTTTTGAGTTTGATGAGCGAGGCTTAATAACAAAATTAAATATATTGTTGTAATGGATGAACCTATGAGTGTGGGAGATTCTTTGCCCTTGGTTAAGAGGTTAGCGAAATCAATGAGTGAGAAGTGATGCCTTGGTACAACAATGGTGCTGCAGTTGAAGTGGATTGATGCGAACATCTCTCTTGAGATCAATCATGGCGAAATTCTCAACGATAATGTTGATAGACTTGTTTTCATAAGTGTAGAAATTTTTGATCTCATAAAAGCCTCCCTCTTCTATGAGAGAAGAGAAATGAGCAATGTCTTTTGCTCTTCGCTGAAGCTCTGGATTGCACCCCCTAAAAAACGAGAGATAGAAACGTGTATAAGTATTAAGATACGATGATTGTTTGAAATTTTGAAAGCTCGTACATAGACATTTTCTATGTTGAAGACATTTTGTACAGTATAATAAGTGTGATAATTGATTTATTATAATAAAACAAGTTTGTAAAATGTCAATATAGCAACAAAATAATCATTTTTAGCAACACAAACAATATTTTTGTTGGTTTTTGTAGCACAGTCGAATCAACGAAAAAACATTTGGAAGTAATTGACTATTCATTATTTGTAGTGATTCATTATTTAAACGGGAGATATGAAATTGAAAAATGATGGTATAGATGTGAATTATTAGATTGAAGCGAGCATTATTATGTTCATTTGCTTTGCATGAAGAGTGAGATTGATTTGAGTAGTAATTTGTAATTCTTTATGTTACGAG